CCGAAGGTTAAGGATCGCCTGCCTCGCTGTATCCGCGTGTGTATGTGCCCCTCCCTGTCTTGACATAGCTCTGCTCTTCTCGTACTGTGCTGCACCTTCTGCCATTAAACTGCGGCGGGCAGCAAAGTTTGCATGCAACCTTGGCGCCAGGGCAGATGCAGATTCAGGGCAGCAGTCCCTGCATTGCTCGGCGTGTTGGAAAACGACCTGTCACCTGACCAGTCCCTCCTCCCTTGCTCTCCCTCATGCTCCTCTTCCTCCCTCGCCCCCTTCCTCCTCCTATCCTCACTCCTCGTTAACGAATGTTCCTACCAGGCCACCGACCTAGCAGATAGCGGCACCATCCTGGAGTTTCCTCCCTGCTCATCAATTACCCTGGCGACGTACCCAACGCCTGCGCCATGCGGGGCATGCGTAGCTTGGGAGACGTTATACGGAAGTGATGACGTGACATGGGCGCATATACTTCTGCGAGCGGCATTCGTGAGGCTCGCAGCCCCCCAGGGATTGCGAGGTCCCCCTCAGATCTGCGCGGTGCCTCACTCCGCTGGACCCGCCACCAGCCATCGAAATTAGTAACGGTTTCGCAGATCGCAGCCCCTGAAGGACGGCGAGGTCCCGCTCGGATCTGCGCGGTGCCTCACTCCGCTGGACCCGCCAGCAGCCCTTGAAAGTGGCGACGGCTTCGCAGATCGCAGCCCCACCAGGGGCGGCGAAATCTCGCTCAGATCTGCGCGGTGCCTCACTCCGCTGGACCCGCCAGCAGCCCTTGAAAGTGGCGACGGCTTCGCAGATCGCAGCCCCACCAGGGGCGGCGAGGTCTCGCTCAGATCTGCGCGGTGCCTCGCTCCGCTGCACCCGCCAGCAGCCCTTGAAAGTGGCGACGGCTTCGCAGATCGCAGCCCCACCAGGGGCGGCGAGGTCCCGCTCAGATCTGCGCGGTGCCTCATTCCGCTGCACCCGCCAGCAGCCCTTGACAGCGGCGACGGCTTCGCAGATCGCAGCCCCACCAGGGATGGCGAGGTCCCGCTCAGATCTGCGCGGTGCCTCGCTCCGCTGGACCCACCCGCAGCCCCCGAAAGTGGCGACGGTCTCGCAGATCGCGCTGCTGGCCCCCCGTGCAGCCCTCGAACATTGCAGCGGTTTCGCAGATCGCAGCCCCTCCCCGGGTCCGCGGCGGTTCCCACTGTGCTGGCCCCCCGAGCAGCCCTCGAAAGTGGCAACGGTTTCGTGAATCGCAGCCCCCCCCGGGGATGGCGAGGTCAAATTTGGGTCCGCGGCGGCTACCACGCATCATGCTGCCCCCCCCAAGCAGCCCTCGAAAGTGGCGACAGTTTCGCGAATCGCAGCCCCCCAGGGAAGATGCACACACATACACACATACAAGAGGTACCGCAGGCAATATGCACAGACAAGAGGTACGCGCAAAGCGGGAGGAGGAGGAGAAGACGCGACCGCAGTGCTGTATTCAAAACGAATACCCAAGGAGGGTTGGGAAAAAACCATACAAGTTCAACGTCATCGCTTTCAACAGTAAGGTTTTGGGGCCGACGTTGCAAAATGCATGGCGGCAACGGGACGGGGCGCGCATCGCATGCGAAAAAGCGAAATGGCACTCTCGTCCCGGCAACCCGTTTACCTTCCTTACAAGTTTGGCTGCCGCGTGGGCGCTGCGCGGCGTTTTTCGCTGAAAGATTCGCCAACGCGCGAGCGGGCAAAACTGTCGACCTCGCCTCGGCGCCGTCCAGTGAACTTGTTGCTCCGGCGTCGGCGCAGCGCCCAGTTGTCCATCGCCAAGGTTGTTGGAAACGAAGCCGCGCGCGGCCGGGCGGGCTGGCCGCCCTCGCCAGAGCTCCGTGCACATCTCCCCTGAAGCGGCGCTCCCGCGAGGGCGCGGCGCATGTTTCGCTCGCCGAGCCGATGGAAGCGCCACCGGCAGCGGGGCCGCGCGAGAGCGGGCGACATTTGGGGGGCCCAGAAATATACTTTTTTTTTAAACATCCATAGGGAGCCCAACGGCGAGAACGGGTGGCAACAGAGCGCGGAGACGCCGGAAGAGGAGGAAGAGGAGGAGGAGGAGGAGGAGGAGGAGGAGGAGGAGGAGGAGGAGGAGGACCGAGGAGGCACAGCAGCGCGCCCCGGCGAGCGCGTGGACTGGCAGCCGCCTAGGGCGACGGCCCCGCGCAACTAATTACATCTAATTAGTCTGGCGCGCCCGGGCGCTCCAGCAGGCGCCGTCGCACAGCCGCCCGCCACGCCGCCTCGCGGCCCCCGGCCCGCGGGGCATCCAGGAGCAGCAGGCCAGCCGCCCGCGGGGGCAGGAGCGGCGCCCATCCGCTGCACGGACGGCACGCGAGGCGCTCCCAGCGCGGGGCCCAGCACCCGCACGCCATGCAGGCCACCCAAGCGGGCCCTTGGGAGGCGACGTGCCCCCGCCAGGCGCTGCCGGCGAAAAGCACCCTCGCCGCGGCGGCCGCCCCTGGGCCCGGCGCCGCGCGCGCTGGCCCCTGCCCCGCCTGCGGGGCCGCCGCGGCCACCACCGCAGCGTCGTCCGCCACGCGGGGCACGCGGCGGCGACGATGCCCCGCCTGCGTCCAGCGCCGCCGCACACGCGGGCCTCCAGGGCGGTGCCCGTGGTTAGCCTTGAGCGCCGCGAGCTCCACCGCGGCAAGCACACGCTGTACGGCAGCGAGCGCGACCAGCTGCCGCTCGCGCTCCTGACGCAGCGCCGGCGGAGGCAGCCGGGCCTCGGCAGCCACCCCCGCGAGGCGGTCCGCCGCGGCGTTGCCGGAGCGGTCGTCAGGCGACACGCCCCGTTCCTGCGCCTCCGCGGCGTCAAGGTGCCCCTTGACCCATCTCGCGGCCAGCGCGCCGCTGCGGCAGTGAGGAACGATCAACTCCCACAGGTCAGCGTGGGCCCAGTCCTCGGGGGACGCCCCTGCCCTGATCGCCGCAACGCAGTTGCTGACGAATCGGGAGTCGGTCACTACCTCGACGGCCCCGCCTGCCAGGCTGACGGCATGCACCGCTGCTGTGAGCTCGGCGCGCTGCGCGGTCTGCGCGCCGTCGACCGGCCCATGGTGCTCCTGGCGGCCCGCGCCCTGGTCCAGCACCACCCCCCACCCTGCCCTGGCGAGGAGGGGGTCAGTGGGGTGCGCGCAGCCGCCGTCCGTCCAAGCGCGCGCCCGGGCTGGCTCGGCGGCAGGGGCCGGCAGGGCTGGGCGCGGCAGCGGCCATTGCGCCTGGTCCGCCAGTGCAGCTGACAAAGCTGTGTGCAAGAGATAAGGCGCACCAATGCACTTGCGCAGGCCCCCACAAACGCAAGGCTTGGACCTCCCCCGCCCTGCGCCGAACCCACACCACCCACATGCCTCCTTGTTTTTGTTTTATGTCGGCGGCGTTGTCGTACTAATGTTTTTTCACCTACACCATGTGAGTAAGGTTGTGTTTGGTGGGTGCCCCCACCGTGCGTTGCATTATCGTTCCCTACGCGCAGCTTGTTTATTATGTTTGGAAGTCTCAATGTGATGTGCGTTTTCGTTGTTCTGTCGGCCCGCGGCCCACTGTATCTTATGCCCGTGCCCATTTTCCGTGAGCGCTAGGCGTTGGGAGACCCTGCTGGGGTCGCGGTGGTCGGGCGGGGTATCCGCGGAAACGATTGTACCATAAGCGGCAACGGCAACGACGATGGCAGCGGATGCGACGCCGACAGCAAGGACGAAGAGATGAGATCGGAGGGGAGGGCGTTTGTCCAGAGCGCGCCCTCGAGGCGACTCCCTCGCGCTCCCGAGGCGGCCCGAACACGCTCGGCCGTCTGTCCGGCCTCCTCCTCCGCCGCCTCCTCCTCCCCCTCCTCCTGATCACCCTCATTTTCGTTATCCTTATCCCACCGCCGCCTCCTCCTCCCCCCACTTGCTTCATCCCCATCATCCTTCTAATCCTCTTCATCTGCTCTTCCTCCTCGCCCTCGTTATTCGTATGCTACTGCCCTGCGCCTTCATCCGACACCAGCTCGTGCCAGTGCCGACGTTGCTAACCCTGCTCCAGCTCCACCTGGTTTTACCCATGTCCACCATCTCCATCCGATTACTAATTACGCCCTGCCTGCCCTACCCCGTAGATCATGCCCCACGCCCCTCAAAAATTTATCTCCGTGCATCGCGTCTCCTCCCCGCCTCTACCGCATTCTCCTCCCTGTCACCCTCTTCCTCCTCATAATTCCTCCCTCCCGCTCATCTGCATCGCCGCACTCGCCCATATCCTCCTGTCTCAGCTGCTTTCCTCCTCATCATCGGTATGCCCCCCATCCTTTGCCTATCTCCCCCAAGGGCCACCACCACCATTACCACCATACATCGCCATCACCATCATCCTCATCATCATCATCATAATCATCACCATCATCATCATCATCAGCATCATCATCATCATCATCATCACCATCATCATCATCATCATCATCATCATCACCTTCACCACCGTCGCCATCAGCTGTAGCATCCTCAGCCCCCCCCCCCTCCTCTATCCACCACCCTGTCCCCCCCCCCCGCGTCCTCCTCCTCCTCCTCATCATCTTTCTCATCCTCTCCTCATCCGCCTACTCCTCCTCTCCTCCTCCTACTCCCCCTCCTCCTCCTCCTCCTCCTCCTCCTCCTCCTCCTCCTCCTCCTCATCCTCCTCCTCCTCCTCCTCTCCTCCTCCTCCCTCCTCCTCCTCTCCTCCTCCTCCTCCTCCTCCTCCTCCTCCCTCCTCCTCCTCCTCCTCCTCCTCTCTTCACCTCCTCCACGTCGGCGACGTCGCGGCCCGCGGCCGCGGCGCGCGCCGCGCGCGGAGGTCGACCGCCTCCGCCGCCTTGCCGAGGACGAAGGAGCTGTTCTTCTTGCCCTTGCCGTCCTAGTAGGCGCCATTGCAACAGATGCGACAGTCCGCGCCAAGTCAGCCCGCCTCGGAGGAGTTGCGTCTGCGCCCTCAAGCTGCGCCTGAGTTCGCACGCGCAAAACCTCGGACGTTGGCCGACTCAGCACAGACCGTCGGGTCTGCATCAATGGCTTTCCATCCGATGTCCTGCTTGCCGCCGTCCTCGGCGTCGCTATCCTCGTCGCCCCAGTCCGTGAACTCGGGCTTGCAGCACTCGCCGACGTGGCTCAGCGCTGGCTCCGAGCCCACGCCCTTCAGCACGGGCACCTTGTACTTGAACGTCTTGGGGCCGCTCACCGCGGTCACCTGCACTGGGAGCTCCACGCTGCCGAACTCGTGCGTGACGGTCTTCTCGTCCTTCTTGGCCTTTTTCTTCGGCGCCACCATCTCCGTCGCAGCTGGCTGCTGCGTCGCCGTCTTCATGGACCACGCTGCGCAGTAGTCCACGCACTTGGGGATCTGCACGTTCGACCCGTCGATCCACAACTTCGGGCCGTTCTCGCACACCAGCGGCAGCACGTCCGAGTGTCTGATCAGATTTGCCACCGACGTGCTGACTACCTCGGGGGGGCCCGTCGGGGGGGAGGGGGGAAGGGGTGGCGATGCCACCACCGCCATCCGGGGGCATCGCTACTTCCCAGCTTCCACGACTAGCTCGAGGCTCTAGGCCGCGTCGCCCCCCTCGCTCGGGGACGCATCGTCACAGGGGTGATGTCTGCAATTGCGACGATGCCATCGTGTACGCAATTGCAGACATTACCCCTGTTGGTGGCGGTGGTGGCGTGGACCCCCATCCCCCCTCTCCCATGGCCTTGCCCCAGAACTCCAACACCACGCTCGAGTCGCACAACGGTTCCGTGCGCATCAGGGTCACCTTCTGCTTCTTGGCCGCGGTGCTGACCTCCTTGAGCTCGAGCTTGTCGGGGTCGCCCATCAGCTCGTCGTCGCCGCTCGCGCTGAGGTAGGCAGACCTCGCCATGGTGTCGAGCTCGATCTGCACGCGGCACGTCAACTCCTTCCTCGAGAAGTGGCCCAGTCCGAACTTGTCGATCTCGTCCGCCGCCTTTGACCGCTGGAGCACTCTCAAGAGGGCCTTGACCTTATCCGCCTCCTGCTGCTGCTGCTGCTCAGCGCCATTCATCGCCACCGTCTCTCCGCCGCCTCCGCCCGGGCCGTGCGCATGCGCCGCCGGCTGGTCCACCACTGCGACGGGCTCCGCCTGGACGTCGTCCAGGAGCAATTGCATCGCCTTCTCGCTGCAGCCACCGCCGTTGAACCACTGCTTCGCCTCCTCGTGCTCGCGGTGCGAGGCTCTGTAGATCTCGTGGATGCGGCCGACCATCTCCGTGCGCTTCGACTGGGTGACCGCGACGCCCTGGTCGATCTGGAGCGCGGCATCGCCGCCGAGCAGCGCCTTCACCTTAGGGAACGGGCGGGGAGGGGGGGGCGGGGGAGGGGGGGAGGAGGAAGAGGAGGAGGAGGAGGCGGAGGAGGAGGAGGAGGAGGAGGAGAACGAGGAGGAGGGGAGAGCGGCGGTGGAGGAGGAAGGACAATAGGGAGGAGGGGGACGAGAAGGATGACGGGGCGATGGGGACTGGATAAGAAGGAGACGATGGAGGAGATGGGAATGGGAAGGACGAGAAGGAGGAACAGCGAGCAAGAGTACGGGGCACGAAGGAGGAGAGGGAGGAGGCGTGGATGAGGAAGGGCGCGAGGAGGGGTGCGAGATCGTTGAGAAGGAGGCCGAGGAGGAGGAGGAAGGATGAGGGAGGGAGCGAACGGACGAGTGATGGATGGGTGGGTGAGTGGATTGAAACAGGGGAGGGAGGGGAAGGGGGCGGGGGAGGGAGTAGGGAGGAGGTGAAGGAGGAAGAGGAGAAGGAGGATGAGGCGGAGGACGAGGAGGAGGAGGCGGAGTAGGAGCAGCAGCAGCAGGAGGAGGAGGCCAGGAAGAGGAGGAGGAGGAGGACGGAGATGGTGGATGGTGGCGGAGCGACGTCGTCACCTTCGTCTGCCACTGGCCGATCCTCGTGCACGTCGTCAGCTCGTCCGTGACTTTGATCACGTCGCTGAAGTAGTTGTCCATGCCGAGGCTCACGGCGCGGACGTGCAGGCCGTTCTCGTGCTTCGCCCAGGCTTCCGCGATCGTGTTGAACGCCACCGCCTCGCCTTGCTTGATCTCGAATGCCGATCGCAACTTCACGAACGGCATCTGCGCAACCTGCGCCTCGTCGTGCAGCACGTGTTGCAGCGAGTGCTTCTCCTTCAGCTCGTCGATGTGGAGCTTGATCACGTGCGGCACGTACGGCACCGTGCCTCGAGGCACAATGTTCACCTCCATGTTGCCCAGTTGCGACGCGACGCTCAAGAGCAAGCCCGCCTTGTACGCCGTCATCTGCTGCACCGTGAAGCCCCCCTCGATCAGCGCCTTGCGCGGGCTGCCACCGTTGACGTACTCGCCAACGCCCTCGCTTTTGATCTTCTGGCACGACTTCAGCACCTTGTCCCACGCTGGCGGCACCGTCTCCCCGATCTTGTCGAGGACCGCCGTGGAGAGCAGCTTCCACGCAACCTCCTGCGACTCCACGTGGCCGCCGAGCACCGTCACCTTGCTCAGGAGCGTCATCATCGTGCCCGTCACCACCTGCATCAGCTCCTGGCCCCGCTCGATGTCCATGCCCAAGCGGTTCTGCCCGACGAACGTGAGCAGCGACTGCGCGTCGCTGAGCTCCGTCTCGACGAGCGCCTCAACGTCCTCTAGGCGGCATTCCTCCTCCTCCGCCTCCTCCTCTTCCTCCTCCGCCTACTTCTCCCAATCCCCCCATCCTCCTCCTCCTCCTCCTCCTTCTCCTCCCCCTCCTCATCCTCCTCCTCCTGTTCCTCAGTCGCCACCTCCCCCCCTTCCTCCTCCTCCTCCTCCTCTTCTTCCTCCTCCTCCTCCTCCTCCTCCTCCTCATCCTCATCCTTATCCTCATTCTCATGCTCCTCCTCCTCCTCCTCCTCCTCCTCCTTCTCGTCCCCCTCAAGCCTCTCCGCTTCCCGCCCTTCTCCGTATCCTCTTCCCCATCCCCCTCTTCTTCCTCCTCCTCCTCCTCCCTCCTCCTCCTCCACCTGCTCATCCTCCTCTTCCTCGTCATCCTCCTCCATCTCCTCCTCGACCCCCCTCACCCCCCCCCCCCCCCCCCCGCCCATCCAACTCCTCGCCCCCCTCCTCCTCTTCCCCCGCATCGCCATCGCCAGTGCCATCGTCATCAGCATCCTCGCCATCACCATCACCATCACCGTCACCAGCTGCCCGCCTCATCATCTGCATCATCCTCTTCTTCCTGCCCCTCCCCTTCTCCCCCCCGGCCCCCCTCCTCCTCCTCCTCCTCCTCCTCCTCCTCCTCCTCCTTCTCCCCCTTCTCCTCCTCCTCCTCCTCCTCCTCTCCCCGCGCCCTCCCCATCCATCTGGCCTCCTCCTCCTCCTCCTCCTCCTCCTCCCCTCGTCCTCCTCCTCCTCCTTCACCATCAGCATCATCTACATCGCCATCGTCGCCGTCACCGCCATCGCCACCCCCACCACCATCACCATCATCATCATCATCATCATCATCATCATCAGCATCATCATCATCATCATCAACGCCACTCTCATCATTAGTATCCCCACCAATGGAGGATAAGGAGGAGGAGGCGGAGGAGGCGAGGGAGGAGGAGAGGAAGGCTGAGGAGGAAGAGGAGGAGGAGAAGAGGGAGGCTGAGGAGTAGGAGGAGGAGGACGAGACGGAGGAGGAGGAGGAGGAGGGGGAGGAGCAAGAGCATGGCGAGAAGGGGGATGACGATGATGATGAAGATGATGACGGGGATGCGAAAGCGTCGAGAATGCGGGATGTCGATGGGAAGGGGGATAAGCATAGGATGTTGTTGAGGATGAGGATGCGGATGGTGTTGGGGATGAGGATGAGATGAGGATGATAATGAGGGAATGGACGAGGATGGTGATGGTGATATGGATGATGGGGGTCAGGACGAGGATGAAGATGGGGATGAGGATGGCAATGGGGACGTTAATGAGACTGAGGTTGAGGGCGTGTTGCAGGATGATATGGTGATGCTGGTGGCAATGGCGCCGATGACGATTCGCGTGATTGGTGCGAGGACTTGGGCGAAGACGATTATGGAGCTGGAGATGGGTAACACGAGAAGAATGAGTTTGAGGACGGTAAGGACGATAGTGATGTTGGTGACGATGATGCTGATGATGTCGAGGGGGACGATGGTGATGCTGATGGTGATGATGATGCTGATGAGGATGGGGATGATGATGGTGATGCTGATGATGATGAGGTTGAGGATTATGTTGCTGATGCTGACGATGATGCTGATGCTGATGGAAACGTGGATGATGCTGATGCTGACATTGATGATGATGATGCTGAAATTGTTAATGTTGATAATGTTGATGCTGATGTTGTCGTTGTTGATGATGGTGATGGTGATGATGATAATGCTGATTATGCTGGTGATGGTGATGCTGATGGTGGTGATGGAGATGATGGTGGTAGTGGGTCTGGTAATGCTGTGTCTCTGGGTGAAGCGGAGGGGCGTGATGTTGGTGACGAAATTCTGGTTGTGCATGCAGATGTGGATGATGGTGATCGTGATGCAGGCCCGAAGGGAAGCACTGACGAGGGCGAGGATGCGCATGATAGGGAGGAGGAGAAGGAGGAGGAGGAAGAGGTGGAGGGACGATGAGGATGAAGAGGGGGAGGGAGGGGGGACAAGCAGGATGAGAAGGTGGACGAAGAAGAGCAGGAGGGGGAGGGTGATAGGAGAGGTGGCGGAGGAGGAGGACCAGGAGGAGGAGGAGGTCCAGGAGGAGGAGGAGGAGGAGAAGGATGAGGAGACGGAGGAGGAGAGGCGGCGGCGGTGGCATTGGCGACGATGCAACGACGACGACGACGACGACGACGACGACGACGATGACGACAACGAGGCCGACGACGACGACGACGACGACGACTGCGACTACGACGACGGCTTCGCATAAGCATGCCTCCTCTTCCTCCTCCTTCTCCTCCTCCTCCTCCTCCTCCTCCTCTTCACTGGTTCGCCTCCTCATCCGTCCCCCAATCCTCTTCCCCTTCCTCCTTCATCCTCTCCCTTGGCCGTTTTCTGGCCCTGGGGTGGTCCTTCGTCGAGGACCGCCGCCAAAGCAGCCCGCGCTGCGTGGTACGCGCGGAACCTCTCTTCGTGCCGCGCAACTGCCGACTCGCCGTCGGCCCTCCCGAGCCTGCAGCCCCCGAATGCTTGCATGTACGCTTCGTGGGCCGCGTCGTAGGCTGCCTCCGCCTGCTCGAGAAGGTCTCGCGTGCTGACCTCTGTCTCGCACAGCGTGCGGTAGTTCGTGATGGCACCAGTGAGGAGCTCATCTGTCCGTTGCAAGGCGGCGTGGGCCGCGGCAAGGGCAGCGGCCGCGACCCGCTCCTCCTCACTGATGTCAGCGGCGTCATCAGCGCCGTCAGTGTCAGCAGCGTCAGCGCCTGTCTCCTCGGCGCCCGCTGCCCCTGCAGCCGCGGCAGCCGCGGCGTCGGCGGCGGCGCTGTCGGCCGCGACCTCGGCGGCGGCGGCGGCGCCGACGTCGCTGGCCGCGCCGGCGTCGACGCAGGCGGCCGCATCGGCGAACTTGTTGGCAGGCGGGGCGGTGGAACGCCGCGGCCGCAGCAGCGGCCTGTGAAACTTCGGTGGTGCGACAATCGGCTGCTCCTGGTGCTGCTGCTGCTGGTGCTGCTGCCCATGCTGCTGCTGGTGTTGCTGGGGCAGCAGGTGCGCGGGCGGCGGCCCCGCTGGCTGCGTTGGCGACAAGAGCGGATGCTTGGGCACCGCCCCTGCTGGCAGCTGCTTGGGCAGCGCGAGCGCAAGCGCCTCGAGGGCCTCGCCCTCGTCCATGCGCGGCCCCGCGGGCGCCCCGCGCGGCCGCTCGGCTCGAGGGCGCGGCGATGGCTACACCGTGAGCCCTTGGGTGCGAGCGTCCTCCTCATCCTCCTCCTCTTCCCTTTCCCTCTCATCCTGGTCCTCCAACTCCTCCACCGTCCCATCTTGCTCCTACACCTCCTCCTCCTCATCATCCTCCTTCTTCTCCTCCTCCTCCTCCTCATCCTCCTCCTCGGTGCCCTCCCTCTCAGTATTCTCATCATTCGCCTCGTCCTCCTCCTCCTCCTCCTCCTCCTCCTCCTCCTCCCCCTACTCCTCCTCCTGATCCTTCTGCTCTTCCTCATACTCGTCATCCTCCTCCTCTGTCTCCTCCTTCTCCTCTTCATTCTCATCCTCATCTTCGTCGTCGGCGTCGGCGTCGTCCTCCTCATCCATCTCCTCCTCCTCCTCCTCCTCCTC